TAAGATGAAGGAACTGGAAGTGCATGTGATGTTGGAATAGTAAGCTAGGTGATAGAAAAAATGGATAAGAAATGAAGCATATTAGGCAACTGTTATGTCGACTTGTGAGAGTTGGTGTTCTTGGAGAGTTGGGAAATCCATCAAAAAGACTTGGTCAATGGTACCTGGTGCTATTTTTTGGAGTATTTGGAATGAAAGGAACCGTAGATGTTTTGATGGGATTTCAACTCCCAACCACACTCTTAAAGCCACTTGTTTAATTAACTTATTTAGTTGGTTCAATCAGGCCCCTGTAACTAGTGTTGAAACTATTTCTGGATTTTGTCTGCTCCTTAGTTGTCCTGTAAGTTTTAGTTTTTGAATATGTTTTGAATATGAGCAGACAATACCTTTATGTTGTAATTTTTGCTATGCATCCTCTTGATGCCATTTAATGAAATTCCCTTCATCAAAAAAAAAATTGTTATGTCGACTTGTCCTTTGGTCTAAGTCTCCCAACATTTTGGAATATATTGTTACTGTTGTTTCTCTTTATCTAATCCCCGTTTACTTGGCATTTGTAGTTCTGGTGCTTTAGCTCTCTTAATTTCCTTGCCGCTTTCTTCTCTAATTTTTGTATGGTTTTATCAGGAGAGAGAGGTAAAGTTCTTCTCTGAGACAGAAGAAAACAACCAGATGAGAGGTCCCAGGACAGGAGTACCCTATTTCTTATGAGTGGAACGTTCACTCTTCTGGTGTTATTTCTGCACTTCATTGAGCCCTCCTTATTAATGGAAATTGTAAGGGAACAGTCTACCTGGAGGGGACTGAATACGTCGTTTCACAAGATGGTGGTACATGCCCTAGCTTGTCTGGGTGACCCTGCTGGCTCTGAATAGTTTGTGCTATGATTTACAATGGCCTTGAATGTTGCTCCCCATCTGTTCCATAATTATTTTTACCTGTGTCATATTGGTGATTTGTACCTTGACCAGATTACATTCTTTAGGTTTCTTGCTTGCATTTGGCTAGATGTACATTTTATTTTCTCGTCATCTTTTACCTTGAAGATTATTGTTCATTTACAACTCAAAATGGGATAAAAGCTGGATATATTATGGGGCTAATCAGTGTGATGTTTCGTATAACTTAGAATTATGAGAAGTTGCAGCTACTGAGGACGTGTTTACATAATCAAGTGGTTAAAATATGTTCGTTTCTTTCTTTTGGTTCTGAAAAGGGGCTTTTGGAACACCTTTGCAGTTGCATTATTAGCAACCTAGTAACGCTGTTTGGAGAGACCTCCTTGCACTATCTTAAGTTCTTTAATGTCGTAATTACCTGTATTTTTCAGTTTGGATTGAGATATGGTTAATTGGTATGTAAGGGACAATTGGCTGCCTATGTTATTCATTTCAGTTAGCTGCCTATCATTTTTCTTTTTTGGATAATCCACTAAGCAGTGTACAAGTTGCCCTAATCTGGATTGAACAGAATCAATCTATGCAAAGCTGTCTATCATTGCCTAGTTGTTTTAGCCATTTGTTAAACTCTTTTTTTGGGGCTTAGAATTTAATCCAACCAAGGCAATAAATTCAGTTTTTTGGTCTGCTTTTTTTTCATGTGAAATACAAATTTAGTTCATTCGATCTATTAGGGTCTGTTTGGAAAGCCACCAGGTAATTGAAATTGGTGTTATTATTAGGGTAGTAATTACACAGTTGTGCAATTACGGTATTAGGACGACTTGTTTGTGTGTCATAGTGTGTAATTAGAGTAATTACAAGTTTATTGTTTGGTTGCACTATTGTAAATTGCACAGTTAAATTAAATTTTAAACGAAGTAATTATGAAAACTTAAAAGTTAATTTAATAAGTATATGCCTATAAATTTTTATAAGTATAAATGATATTATATTTGGTATTTAAGATGTATATTTTTTCGCGAATATAAATTAATTAGTAACCATATATTTATAACTAATATTGTAAAAATAATTTATATATATTTTCCAAATTAATAATATTTAGTTTAGATACTTACAAAAACTAAAAATATATGTTTTGTAAGAATATCATGGAATTCATGTTTGATAAAATAAATTAATATTTATAAATATAAATATAATGTCTTAACATTATTCAAATGTTTGACAAAACTAATCTATCAATTCTAATTAAAAAATGAACAACATACAATGTGAGCCAATACTACTAAAACAAGTAAATTGGAAACATGAATATAACACAATTTTAAAATCCAAAAAAAAGAGTTGTTTAACATATGTCAAATTCCAACATAATAATAGTAAGTTTCACTACAACTTAAGACAAAGAAACATAATAAGTTTATAACCACATTCAACAACGAAATTCCACTTCAATTGCATCACTCATTATATGGCAAGTTTGTTAATCACTCATTTATTTCTAATATTAGGAGGCGCAGTTTCAAAATATAGAATAATAAAATATAACAAATTATATGGAATCACGAGAAGTAAAGGTAGAGAAATAAAAGATAAATAATGTACAAAGAAAAATATATTTTAAATTTCAAAAAAAAAAGTAAAAAAAAAATAGAAATAAAAAGTTATAAAGAAAATAAATTAAAATAAAAACAAAAAGGGAAGAAACTAAAAAGCAACCTTGTAATTATACGGTGTAATTACCACCAATTCTCACATCCCCTTGAGAATTGAGAGTGTAATTACACCCCTCCAATCAGGGGCGGAGCTAGCCCTCGGATACGGGTTCGGTTGAACCCAGTAACTTTTGTTCAAACCTTGTATTTTTCTTAAAAAATTATTGAAAATCATGTACAAATTATTAATTTAGAACCCAGTAACTCAAAATAATTAAAATACTGAACCCATAATATTCAAATCCTAGCTCTGTCTCTGCTTCCAATTACACTCAATTCCATGCTGATCAAATAATTAATTGGCCAAACAAACATGCCAAGCTGTGTTATTACACCCAAATCAAATTCCTAGGTAGCTTTCATAATTTAAGATACAATTTTTCATGTGTTGGTATATGTTTAGCAAGAAGAACAAACCGATTAACCTATTATCTATGGGAGCGTCTATATGTGATTATTATTTTTATAAATATGGTCAAAAATAAATCTTTATTGTCTTTTATCGGCTTAAAAGAGAGGGAAAAATATTAATGTATTTTTAGCTTGTCTATTAATGTTTATTAATCTTTATTAAAGATTTATTAAAGTATTTTGGATTAGCTTAAAAGCTGGTCAAACCAGCTTAAAAATACTTTTTAGTTTGTTTGATTGTTTGGTAACTTCAAAAATAACTTTTAAGTAAGTGCTTTTAAGCCCAAATAAGCTAAAAGCAACAAGTTGGGCAACCCCAACTTTTTTTGTTTTAGCTTAAAAGCCAACTATCTTTGACCAAGTATTTTACCCTCTTATCCCTAATAATATATATTATTCCAAAAAATGTCCTTCACAACAAAATCCCAATTTAACTCTATTCTTTCCCGTTCTCTATTCCTGCGTCTTCCTCCATCTTGTATTTCATTTTGCTCTTTTTCTTTCTCGTTCTTCTCTAGTTGGCAACGCTTGATTTGATTCACTTTTTGAGTTTTTACTTAATCTTTTGTCCACAGCCACTCATCTAGTTGGGATTATCTAAAGTATTTCCCAACTATTTTCTTTCCATTTCATACTAACTTTTTTATATATCAATAATCATACGATTCAGATTGAGTCTTATTTTAGTTATATAAATAAGCCTAACTCCTCTCATAAATTGAAATTGAGGAGGTTCAATTGAAGTTTTAGCTTAATCTAGTATGTTAAATCATTTAATTTCCTTGTTATGTAAGCGAATGTGATATTCATTTCATATGTTTCCCCAGTAAGCTTGGAATTTTAAGAAATAAATAAAAATTTACGTGGTTGAAAGAAGTGAAAAATAAGAATTCAAGAATTATATTTATAATATTATTTTAGGTGGTCAGTTCAAATATTAATTATTTCGTATTTATATTAGTTTAAAATAAAATGTTATAGTAATAAGCTTCTTTATAATGTTAACAACTTTAAGGATATTTCAGTCATTTTAATAGAAAAAGTGCTTACCAGCACTTGTTTATCAAATATTTCAACAGCTTTTTTTCAGCTACAACACTTTTATCCAAACACGTAACTGCTTATTTATAAAACCAGCTCCAGCACTTAAAAGTACTTTTAAGCACCTTGTGCTTAAAAGCTACTTTTTTTAAGGGGAGAAATTCAAAAATAGCCAGATTTACCACCGGTCGTTGAAAAATAGCCAAGTTTCAAAAGTCATCGAAATTTAGCCACTTTAAATCTGAGCGAAAACACTGTTCAAAATCCGGAAAAATACGCCCGCAAATTTTACGGGAGTTCCAGCATAAGTATGCTTGAACTCCCGTAAATTTNTTAATTACGGAGTCCAAGATACTATAGCTAGGACTACCCGCAAATTTTACGGGAGTTCAAGCATAATTATGCTGGAACTCCCGTAAATTTTACGGGAGTTCCAGCAAGTATAATTGTCCGGTCTAATATACTGGAGTTTGGAGCACTGGTGCTCCAGTCTCCCCCAAATTTTACAGGAGTTAGCAAAGTATACCGGTCCAGCATAATATGCTGGAGTTCGTATACAAATGCACCAGAACTCCCGTATATTATACTGGACCGGTCCCTATTGCAGCAAAATAGTAGCTATTTTTCATTGACTTGATAAACGCTGGCTATTTTTCATTGACCAGTGTGAAAACTGACTATACCATGATATTTTAACTTTTTTAAGCCAATCCAAACGGGCTCATGGTCTTATTCACAATTTGAGAGGGAAATGCAAACTCTTTTTGGTCTTTTTTTCTTTCCCAGAGTAAACCGGCTAAATTAGCAAAATCGAAAAAGCTGGAGTATTACTGGATCAGGTTTGTTTGTACTATTGGACCAAATCTGGAGATGCACATAGTGTAGGGACCAAAATGTAAAATTTCAAGATTTCCCAATCTAATTTGAAAAACTAACATTGGCCGGCGAACCCAATTTTGAAATGAATCTTCTTCCGCCAAGTTTTTTGACAGTTGACCACCACTTTCCCTCTCTCCCTCGGCTTTGAGAAAATTTGAGATGTAAGTTCTCCTTCCTCTTTGGTAATCTTTACTTGTTAACATCTTCTCTTGCTTGCTTTATTTTTTACTCTATTTTGTGGGGTTGTTCTGAAAATTTTCTTTTTTAGGAAAAGATTTTGAGTAAAAAACCATAAAAGATGAAAATCTATCGTTACTGGGGAGTTGTAGGTCAATTATCTTCGGCTCATTTTACCAAATCCTTCTAACCTCAGCAACTGTTGTCAGTTTCTAAGGCATGTAAAGTGTGAGCTTTTGGAAAATATTAGTTTAAAATGTCAAATATCTAAATCATTCTTTTCACATGGGCCGTTAAGGGTAGTATTAGACCACCCACTTGACAGTATACAACAACAACAAACCTAGTGAAGTCCCACAAGTGGGGTTTGAGGAAGGTAGTGTGTACGCAAACCTTACACCTACCGAGCTTGGATAGACCCTCGGCTCAGGAAAGATGGAAAGAAACAGTGGAAACAAGCAATATCAACAACAAGGGCCACAAAGATAATAACAACAAACTAATAGCCAGAAAATAGATGGAAAGAAGCAGTAGCAGCAATCATGGACTGCAACACGATACTAAGAAACCGACGCGGAAGGTAATAGGAAAACAACGTGTAAAATTAGCAATCTAAGAACAGGAGAAAAAAACTATCAGACTAACCCTATAACCCCGGTATTGATCATAAATACGCTCGCTACTTACTAACCTTCGACCCTAATTCTCGACCTCCACGCCCTCCTATCAATTGTCATGTCCTCGGTAAGATGCAGCTGCACCATGTCCTGTCGGATCACCTCTCCCCAATACTTCCTTGGCCTCCCTCTACCTCTTCTCATGCCCACCAAAGCCAACCGCTCACACCTCCTTACTGGGGTATCTGAGTTTCTCCTCTTCAGATGTCCGAACCATCTAAACCTCGCTTTCCGCATCTTGTCCTCATGGAGGCCGCGTGCACCTTTACCCGAGTATCTTCCTTCCTAATCTTATCCCACCCAGTATGCTTGCACATCCATCTCAACATCCTCATTTCCGCTACTTTCATTTCCACCACTTGATAGTATATATCTCTAAATAAATTAATGTTACTTCACGAAGAGTATGAATTTCAGAGAATGGAGTGAACCAAGTACAAAGGTGAGATGTTTCCTCATACCAATAAAAAAGGCAAAGCTTTGAATGAATTATTGATGAGATATATTTTATGTTTTCTATTTATTTTATTGCGACAAATAGGGTACATGTATCATCTTCTTCTTAGTCAGTAAGAACAAATTGATCCTTAGGAGTGACATTGTGCCAGGAAAACTGGTAGGAAGTACATTATATTTAATCTACTAGCAAGGACAAAGAAATGATAAACTTATTGGCTAATAACTCAAGCATAGGGTTAATTTGATCATTCTCTTTGCCAGACTGCCTTAGTTTAAACATGTTTTTGCTAATTACGAAAACTACTCATACAAGTGTATGCATGATTATCAAGCCGTGTTGTCAAAGGCGCGCTTAAAGCGCGCTTAAGCCCTGAAGCGAGGCTCAAAACATGTTGAGCGCTTCGCCTCGCTTTGTGTGCGCTTTAGTGTCGCATCAAGGCTCTAAGGCATACTTTTCCTTGCCAATGAGTGTAATCCTGAAAAGCCGACATTAAACAATTGATATTTCACTTTCTCGTAAAAAAATTTCATTTTCTTTGTCCATATATTTATTATTCATGCTTTTAATTATTAGTCTTTGACTACATATACATATTTTTACTTTTTCTCCAGTTGCGCCTTTTTTCATTAAAGCCCACGCTTTATTTGCGATTTGCGCTTAAAGCCTCAGCGGATCTTAGAGCTTTTTTGCGCTTTTCGCCTTTGATAACACTGTTATCAAGTAAATTATTATGTTTTCAGAGAATTTGTATATCGCCATGCCAAGGCGGAAAGGAAAACCTCGTGCAAAAAGGGAGGTTGAAAAGGATGCTAATCAAGAGGAACATCAAGTGGAAAAGGAAGATGATATATTCAAGCAGGAAGGTATCATTTTTATTGTGCAAATGTTTGTCTGTTTTAACATTTGGAAGAAAAAGTATGTTGGTTATTTTTGAAAAAGGAAATTTTGTGAGAGGAAACAAGGCAAGGACAACAGCTGCAATTATTAATTGGGCTGCAGAAATCCTGAAGCAGGAAATATTATTTTGCTTGGTTGCAAGTCGTATGCGTGAAGCTATATTACAAAATACACATCTTTTATCCATTTTTCGTATTATTTTGGTTGATTTCATCAAATAAGTGCTCTGTGTGACTAATTGGTTCTGTTATTTCTTTTCCTGCAAGCTGAAGAAAGAGGTAAAATATATCAATTTGCTTGGTCTAATACCTTCCATTTATGTGATGCTTTTTGAACGTAAGAGAAGGTTATGAAAACTGAAGATGAATTTCATAAGAAAAGCTAAATGTAGAAGGAAAATATTTCTAGTCTGTGTTTGAGTTGGAATTTTTGAAGTGAAAGGAAAGTGGATATCAGATGATGTTTGAAAGAATGTAACTGCAAAGTGCTTAAAACATGGTTCTGTTTTGTCCCTGATGAATTTTAATTTTCACATTACCATCATGATTGTATCTCAGCAAATATGTCATTCACCTTATTGTTACTGAATCACTATCTATTTTTCAGCTGAACGTCAAAGTGCTGCTATCAGGGCTATTCGTGATATGGAGATTGAACAGTTACGAACTATGATGCGATTGCTACGATCAAATTTTAGTAATGAACAACTTCAAGTTCCAGTAATGCAATTTTTTGAGGAAAAGTTTCCAAACCTGGCTATTGTAAGGAAGGAGAAACATGACCAGTATGAAGTGCAATGGAAAGACGATGATGGTAATTTAAGCATGGACCAGTTTGATGGAAGGAATCTACCTACTTCTCTTCTTCATAAACTGTCCAAAGTGTATCCTGATTGCTCCAGTGCCATGCCATTATTTGGTGGATTTGAATTCTCAAATAAATCTGGTATCTTTAAATCTCTTTTTGGCCATCCTTATATGATATATCTAGACACTCTAGTTTATTTCTTCTGACTTAATTCAACTACATTTTGGCAGTTAAAACAGCCTTTTGTGGTGCCGAAAACCTGCAGATCAAGGGATTTGTATGTTCTATTGCAGTTCATTCTACTATTTCCCGCGGTTTATGTCATTGTGCAATTCATTTCGCAATACCACATTTCGAGTAACTTAGGTTGCACTGGTGTTCCTTTTTTGGCTGCTGGCTAAACTCTTGCATTTAAGATTTGGAAGTTGATGTGCCCTCAAGATGATTTCAACACTTGCTTATTCTTCTTTGTTCCTTATTTGCTATCTTTTTTTTCTTCCTGTGAAGGTCTTGGAAGAGCTATCTGATACCCAAATGCTCGATCTGGCGGATACTATTCAGACACCCGGTGTATGTAGCTATAATATAATTTCTGTGCACTTTGTTGTTACACTTTTGTTTGCATTATCTTTTTCTTTACTCACCGATTAAAAAAACATCTAAATAATGGGATAGATGAAGCATTGTATTTCCTTCCTTTTTTATTTCTCTATCTGGATGACTGAACCTCTAGGTCCTCTCTTGAGATATACCATCGTTATTTAGTTTATTATGCTTTAGGAACAATGTTATGAACTAGTGGCATTACTTATGTAAGTGTGTGATGGTTTAATGAAGTGACTTTAATGAAACTAATTTCATTCCAAAGTTGCACGCAGTTTCCTGTTGATGTCTTCTTGAGTGTTTCGTGCTAGAGGCCATATTGATGCTGTAACATTTTTTTTACTACAGGCATATAGTAGCAGATTGTCTGTTGGGATGACTCCCAAAACTTTAAGGCTGCCTAAGCCTGGGGAAATGCTTCTATCTGTCCACGGCTCTCCTCTTGGTGTTTACAAAGAAGACAACATGGAAGCAATACATGGTATGGGCCTATATGAGAGATGACTTTGGTCATTAGGAAGTTCATGAAGAAGTACTCTGTTTCACTTACCAAATCTGCTTTTCCTTTTAATTATTCTGAGTATCAATTTCCTGCTGTGACAAATCTGGACCATTTCATTGTATGTGCTCGTGGTTTTTCCTTGTTTCCACTTTCCTAATAAAGTGTTACTTTGTGCTGCAGAGTCGGAAGATGGAGGAAATGACTCAACGTAATCTTCTAGTATAGCAGTAGAAGATACAGTTTATCTGATCGTAATGTTTGAACTCATCATCAAGACTGATTCGTGCTCTTAATGTTATTGAAAAAGTTCATAAAGTCCTTTGCCAGCCTCCTTATAACTTGTTCTGTCCCTTTTTCTGTATTCTCTTTTCACCTTTCCTTTGCTCGACTAGAGGTTGGCAGGGTTCGTCTGACTACTTTCGTGAAGCTATGCAGCTGGAAAAGTGGTCCTTGTATATAATTTTGTAAGAGCAGACAAGATCTTTAGATTTTAGATGGTCAAGTTCTTAAATACTTTGTGTTTTTAGTGTTAGCTCTAGTTTATCTGCATTGTTTAACTGTCCTTTTTTCTTATATAAACCTTTCTTGCAAACCTGTCTGCCTTAGGATGAATCTGGAAATGATATAGGATGTTCAACTAGTTGGAACTTGATAAGGAACTTCTTAGACAGCAGGAAAAAAGACAACCAAAGATCCCTTATAAAAAAAGTTAGGTCAACAAAAGCAGTGTCAACTTCCCCAGTAGATATTAACCATCATCGTGCAAATAATTTCAACTAGAAATTAACTACTTATAAAATAAGAATATCAAAGTTAATCATTTCGCCTGAACCTTTTTTCTGTAAATAGATGAATGTTTAAGTATCTAAGAATATTAATACGTTTCGACTTTGATATAGTCTCATCTGAACGTGGCTGTCTAGCTTACTTGTAGGTAAACTAAAACTGAGAAGTTATATTCCTTAGGGTTGATTCTCCACTTAAAATTCAGATGAGTCATTAATGCACTGTCGTCAAAACTCGTTATATAGCTTACCTACCTTTACATTTTCTTGCTATTAGGTGAAAGAGGCCGAGAATTAATTAACTAAACTTTAAAATAACAATTAAAAAAAAAGGAGAAACAATTGTCAATCTAACTTATATATATCACAGTACGTGAAAGAGGTTTTTACTTGTATAGGCAGAGAAGTTTGTAATAAGTTGTTGATCAGAAACAATAGCGTACTGAGTTAGTAACAACAATGTCAGAAAATCAGAGGATACATCCAGTTGTGGACATGGAAGCACCACCAGCACCACCACCAACACGTCCATTAGTGCCACGAGTCTCGTTTAAATCAGAAAAAGGCGATCCATCGCAGCTTCAGCAGCCAATAATAAACCAGCCATTTAGACGTACCGTTCCTGTAATGTATCCAAGACCACATAATAAGAAGAGAAGTTGCTTTTGCAAATGCATTTGCTGGACAATTAGCCTAATCATACTCTTACTTATCATAATTGCAGCAATTGGTGGCATTCTTTACCTTGTTTTCAAACCAAAGATACCTCAGTACTCTGTGGATAACCTCAGAATATCAGACTTAAGGCTCAATTTTGACATGAGCCTATATGCTAGATTTAATGTAAGAATCACTGCTGTCAATCCCAACAAGAAGATAGGAATCTACTATGAGAAAGGAAGTCGTTTGAGCGTGTGGTACAAGAATACACAGCTATGTCAAGGGTCTATACCAAAGTTCTATCAAGGTCACCAGAACAAAACAGTACTCGACGTGGCCTTAACTGGGCAATCACAATATGGTAATACATTGATGTCTGCTATTCAAGAGGCAGCACAAACTGGAAGAATACCATTAGATCTTAAGATTAAAGTTCCAGTTAGTGTTAAACTTGGGAAGCTCAAGTTGAGAAAGGTGAAGATATTGGGAGATTGCTTGCTGATTGTTGATAGCCTCTCTGCTAATAGTTTGGTCAGAATTAAGGCCAGTACTTGTAAGTTTGGGTTGAAGCTCTAAATGCTTCTGCATTGTGTTTTACATATTTGTTATTTACTTAGATTTTTAGTTATGTTACTTTGTATTTTATTATTTTTTGGGATCTCTACACATGTCTGTGAGAAGATTTTGTCCATGGACATTTGGAGAATTCTATCACATTCATCCGCACACTATCATCTATGTTTGTTTCTCTATTATTCATATCTATAACCAAACACTGGATGTTGCTTACTTCTTGGTTTGTCGCAATTTATGTCAAAAAAACCTCTCATTAGTGCTTAGGTTTTGTTCTTCCTAAGTAGATTAAGGATTGATGTTGTGCTCCTACTCAGAGACAGACCTATGCTATACAGAGAGGGGCCACCGTCACCTGTAAAGTTCGGCAAAAGTTCCATAGTTACAAGTATATGTCTTTATGAAATACTGATATATTAATAGTGGGCACCCCATATACAAAGCAAATTTTGGTTGAATCCAAAAGTGCACGCAACCTTCAAATCCTGGGTCCGCCTCTGCTCCTACTTGACACTTTCGAAGCAAAGAACTAAATGTAGAAGGCAAATGATTAAGATAATTGAGGGGTCATATTATCTTAAGAAGCATCATAGCTAACAATAGCAGCTGCAATATACAAGGCATGAATTGCATAAAAGCCCATAAAACATCAACTAGTCTGATATATACAAGTGTAGTACTAAGCAAGTTTCACAATTTTTTTGTCCAAGCGAAGCGCCAAGCTTGGGTATCTCAACCTCTCTTTCAACAGAAAATTATCAGATGACAAAATTATAGGCTAAGTTTCAGTGAGCCAATATGGAGCCTCAGGCTTGGAATAAAAATGTTGGTGTTAACGTGACTAATCACCAACCAAGGCTCGCGGTCTATGCTCTATAGTAAACAGGGACATTCCTGTCTGTGAAACAGCTCTAACAAATGCCATGTTTGCAGTAATAGTAGGAGCATGCCAGTAATCACCGGTCCCAAAAACAACCTTGTTTTTTAACGCCAGTTTTCTAGTTGTTGGAAGGCTCATCAGCCGTTCTGACGGGCAATCTGGAACAACCCTGTTTGAGTTAATCAAATGATTAGCATATGGAATTCAAGTTACAAATAAAAATGCAAAATGAAATTTCAGAAAAAAGAAGAGTGGAGAGGAAGAAAAAAAATCGAGTGCAAGTCTTGACAAGCTCATTAAATCGCCACATAAATCTATGCCCCGCACAAATATGTGACATAATTTATGCCCTCAAATTAATATCCTTGCTGTCTGGATAAACATAAAATTTAATCTACCTATCCACATAGATTTTCTACTAAATTGTGTATTTGCAATAAATATTACCCCTTTCCTTAATTGAGGAACAAGTGTTACTAACTTAATGTACCATCATGAGATTCAGGTTCGCAATTGTAACAGACTGATCAGAGGACTATGCCAGGAAATTCTATAACGTACTGGATACCAATGATGTTTATCATGCAGGAGTAGCTAGCAAAATTTACCTAAAATTTGAACTCATATAGAAAGGAAAACAAAAATGTCAGATTAGAGGATGTCAAGTAATTCATATCTTTCTTCCTTTTTCTAATTCTGGAGGTAAAAGGGGTGGGGATCCACAGAGCGTGTACTGTTGATTGTTAGGATTTTTGCAATAAAGTTGTAGGCAAAGAAAATTTGTTGTAGCTTGTAAGAGACATACTGAAACTTATCAAAAATTCACCTAAGATGTTTCAGAAACTGCTTGGCTCTAGTCTTCTCATTAGGCCCACCACACATTGAAATAAGCTCCTGAAATTCTGAACAAACACTTTCACAAACTATGCCTCTTTTTTGCAATATTACAGGCATCAGCTCCTTGTGGATTGGCTTTTCCATTTCAGTATTCACCTGGTGGAAACCGAGTACAACATAAACCAAAAAATGTTGTTACAATGGTTGCCAAATGCAAAAGTACAGTGGTTAAGCTAATAGTTTATGAGTGTTCATGGTTCATATAATAAGGAGATTTCTTTAGGACAGAAAACAAAGAGGAAAGAAAAAAAGGCAGCCCGGTGCACTAAGCTCCCGCTATGCGCGGGGTTCGGAGGAAGTACCGGACCACAAGGGTCTATTGTACGCAGCCTTACCCTACATTTCTGCAAGAGGTTGTTTCCACAGCTCGAACCCGTGACCTCTTGGTCACATGGCAGCAACTTTAAAGTTACACCAAGGCTCCTCTTCACAGAAAACAAAGAGGACCTCAGATATAAGCAGTTGGTCATTTCCAACTCAGTGCGGAGTTTAGTGCCTAACGATTGAATCATACTATTAACTTCCCCAAGATAAGGAATGCTAAAACTAGCAATTTGTTAAACTTATATATTCCAGGTAGTATAAATATGTGTGTTTGACTCAAAAGTTATCAGATACTTTTTAAGCAAATCAATCGAAAGAAATGAACAGGTAAATCATAGCCAATCATAATTAATCACTGAATCAGAAGAAAAATTTGAGATGTATGAATCATCCATTGGAGAATGGTATGGACGGGATTTTATTCATCATAATAGTTTGATCTGCCTCTCCTTAGAGAGGTTCAGGATCTTACATTTATCTTGTTCATCGCCCCGTTTATGGAGCATATACTACCATTTTTCTGTTTTCTAGCCCAGTCGAAGAAGAAGCCCCCCTTGAAGGTTCTCTTTCTTGGTATTTATAGCTTCAAACTCTGTGAGCTGGTCACGAGCTGTCATAGTTTAATCGAGGAGACATCCTCCTGTCGCGAAAGGGCCGTGACCCCCTTGTTCGCCAGACAAACAGCTGTCATGAATTTTAAGTCAGTTGCGTTGTAGGACGGGGCCGGCTCCGTGGCTGTCGTATGGTCAAATTTTTACCAATACAATGAGTAGTGATAGTTTCTTGATTAAACCAATTTTATCATAAACAACTAACTATAGTACGTGGTTGCATAAATAGTTAATTTTTTACGGCTACTAACCAACCAGTTATTTAATACCCGAAACCTAATTGACATTGACCTCAAACTTAACCTTACGTTGAGAAATGGATTATATCGAAAACATTTATAGTTCTGACACTACACATTTTATCATCTGGAAATTCATGAAATCAAAAATTTCTATACGAAGCACCAGTATCATTTTTTGACTAAACATGATTTTATTGTTTGAAAAAGTTATTATTAAATCCCCACCACTTTTTAGGCACTTTGTAGCCCCCGACGGAAGTACACTGGATTAAGAGTTCTGTTTTTAAATATAATTTAAAGGTTTCACACACTTTTTGTCCGAAGTTATAGAATAACATTTTTTCTATTGTAGAATGTTGAAAATATTTGGAAGTATTGCACTGATAATATAATACTACATAGGAATCAGCCTCTAATGTTTGTATGTGAGTATTTGCCTACATAATACCCCTTGGGGTGCAACCTTTCACTGGACCCTGCCTGAATGTGGATACTTGTACATCGGGCTACCCTTTTCGCTTTATATTCAAATGATAAAAGGCTTAACCATAATCCATACTTATATTAAATTAAATAATTTAATCATAATGAAAATTTAAAGAATACATATTAGTTGATGACAGTTAATAAAAATTTATATATAAAATACTCTACGTTTCGCATTCATTTACATGAGTCGTGTTTCACCAAAGGCATTCTCCTTTTGTTAGGGCCCTACTTGTAATTTCTTAAGACTAAAACCAAGTTAACTAGTGCCTACTGAAGTCGTGGCACTGTGTTTTAGAAAGAAAAAAAAATTAAATCATATTGGGTTTGTTGTCGACTTTGTCGTCTTAGATATTGGTTAAATCAACCTTACAAAGTAAAATGAGATGGTTGAATTGAGATGGAATTTTTTTAATTTTCAATACCCTATCCAATGTGAATCACGTAAATGTCTGGTCAAAGCAAGGAAATAGAAGTAAAAGCGAACAATGTTGCACACGCAATTTGGATGAGAAAAAAGACGCCAAATATAGACAAATCATGACACAAGCCTCACTTATTGTCCTTAGAGTTTCTTTTCTGCTGGGACAAAAATGGACTGACGCAATAAATGCCAAGAAATCAGCAAAAACAAAAAGACATTCAAAATTGAAAATCTAAAATGAACATGCCTTAATTATATGCAACTTAATTATTTCAGTGAATATTAATTTTTTTCTAGTGATTTTTCATACCCCTCCGGTCCAAAATAAGTGATTTTTTGGATGTTTTCACACAAATTAAGAAATTCACCTTTTAGCACTAATTAGCAATGGAATTGACCATATTAACCTTTACTATCTCACATAAACACTCCTAACACATATTCCAACACCATTTACTTCAAGGATAATGTAGGAAAAAAATAATTAATTCATTATTGAAATCTGGAAAAATCACTTATTTTGGACCACAAGAAAAAGGCCAAAAAATCACTTATTTTGGACCGAAGGATCGCTAGACTGAAGGGAGCCGTGGCGTAACGGGAAAAGTTGTTGTTATGTGACCAGGAGGTCACAGGTTCAAGCCGCGGAGAGAGCCTCTTGCAGAGATGTAGGATAAGACTGTATACAATAGACCCTTCTGGTTCGGTCCTTTCCGGACCCCGCGCATAGCAAAAGCTTAGTGTACCTGGCTGTCCTTTATTGACCACTAGACTACAGCTAACTCTTTTCCACCTTCTTGATCCAATATTCTAGTAAATTTTACTTCCATAAAACAATGCGCATTTGAGTCTTATCTTCTTAAGAAAGTTCTTTTCAAATATGCATGCATCTCGTTTTCCACTTATTTTTGAACTTCCCATATAGAAAAAAATGCCAGAAAAGAAGGGTGAGTGATGAATGTCTCCTTTGGTTTTTGCAGTGGCAGCTCTCCCCAAGTTTACACTAAAAAATTACAGAAACGTTTAAAAAAACCTAGACTTATGTGCAAACTTCCACGAGTAATTAATGCAGGAAACCTGCCAAATTTAACTAACAGTTGGCATCAATCTTTTCTTGATTCTTCAGCTTTTAAAACTAATTAATTACTTTACTGTATCACTTATCAATTCTGCATATATGACATTCCATCTATGATTAAATAATCACTACAACTACCCTTTGGGGACCTGATTTTTATGGGAACTACAAAATTTCTTGAAATAAAATTAGTCAAACGTAAACACAAAAGTCAATAATTTTAGGTTAGGAAAATTGTTAATATACATACCTTATGCAAATGAGCATCTAAAGCAAGCTTACTGTTACGAGTTTACAGCCTCATTCAAAATTACTACAATGTAATATCATCCCAAAAAAGAAACTGTACTAATGTTAATATATTAACAGATGATCTGTAAACCACAAAAAAAAAAAAAAAATATTACTGTACGTATTTATTATTTGTGGCCCCAGAGTGTTAGGCAATTTCAGATTCTTCTCATTCTTTACCTACTTCTTTTTTCAAGTTGTTTCGCTATAATTAATGGTATCATCTGCCAGAGCAACCAACACTGTCATAGAACAAAATATCTACACAAGAATTAAATCTACTCATTGACTCCACTTATTATTCTAACACACCAAAGACAAATTATTCACTTCTTGAGTCCCCAATCTGAATAAAACTCCGAATATATTACTAGAATCAGTATCCAAAAAGTTGTCTAGAACAGGAAAAAAACATCAAAATAGAGCTGAGATACCATCACTTTGACTAGAATAATGAAATATATGTATACATACGTAGAAAGCAATTAACTGGAGAAAAATAAAGTCAGCAGAGAACTTCCCATTAATTTTCTCCTTCAGTGCTAAAGTTGAAACACACCCAAATTTACTACTACATAAATCCCAAATAAACCAAAAGAATACTAAAAATAAATATTAAAAAAAGTCCACCCTACCAGAAACAAGAAGATGAACACCCAGTAGTATAACAATTATTACTGGAATTGTGAAGTCGGCGAAAAACCCTTCTTCTTCTATAACCAAAGATGCCATATTTGAGCCTCAACCAAACCAGTTTTCTGATTTTTCTTGCTGATTTGAGCTTTACCCATATCACCCTTTTCACTCTAAAGAATGAATTTTTCATCTTCTCAGTAACACTCTGCTTCCTGCTAAATTGGTAGCTTCTCAAAAAAAGCTGCCTCTTTTCTAAGTCAGTGTACCCTGTTTCTGTTCTGAACATGTTTACTGCCCCATAAGATATCTGTTTTACAGCCATATTGTCCATTGAATACATATATTGATATACTGTTCTTCTGTATATGTATGTTGAGAGAGAAATAGGAGTTTAATTTGCAGTAAGAGAAAGAATTACAGGGTAGTGGTATATAATGGTCGTGATATATAGGTGAAGAGAGAGGGTTAGTTGGAGTCTGAATGTTCTTTATAGTTTAGGCCATGCTCTGTATTAATTAATTTAATGCCATCGTGGGGATGTGCCTAGATTTTAAATGTAATCGGCTTTTTTTCTCCTTTTTATCTTTTTTTCCTTTTTTTCTTCTTTCTTTCCTATCGTGATTGAATTTTTAACAAGGGAATTTTCTTTTTAAATAATGGTGACATATTTTTAATCGGCTTAGAATCTCCCCAACAATTCTATTTGATTCTGCTTTAGCTCTTATTAAGTGTCTAATAATATTATTTATCAAGATTTAAGCAAATCAAAAATCGCCTTATGTTTTTAATTGGCAAAATACCTTAAAACCCCCCTAAACTTGACACGGATTATTAGTTACAGCCTTAAATTATTCGTGTTCTTAATTACCCCCCTCAACTTGGCCTTTTGAGAATCATTACCCCCTGGACGCTGATGTGGCAAAAAGTGTCGGTACACTCGCCTGCCATGTGGATTTTTGTGTATATGTGGCATTGTTGAAAAATAAAATATACCTTTTTAAAAATGTTACTTTTTTAGATAATTTTTTTTTCG